ACCTTCTCAATAAGCTCAATGCAGGCAGCCAAGTCCATACCAAAGTCAATGAACTCCCACTCAATCCCCTCTTTCTTGTACTCCTCTTGTTCCAGCACAAACATGTGATGGTTAAAGAACTGTTGCAGTTTCTCATTGGTAAAGTTGATACACAGCTGTTCCAGGCTGTTGAACTGATTTTCAGAGTAAATAGATTTAATATTTCATCTTATAAGGGAACTGAATATTTAATGGCATTGGGAATATCAACTCACATCAAAGATTTCAAAGCCGGCGATATCCAGCACACCAATGAAGAACTGTCTCGGCTGCTTGGTGTCCAACATCTCATTGATACGCACCACCATCCATAAGAACATTTTCTCATAGACTGATTTGCAGAGGGCACTTACGGAATTGTTAACCTGATAATTGCAAAGCGAAAAAAAGATATTTTTCTTGACTCTTCAGCCTTTCACTTAAACCGTTCGAACAGTTTTTAAAATTCCTTAATGTATAAAACTGCTGCATTTGCACACTTACATAACAACATGAGATATAATCATATATTTTCTGTGTTGCTGCACAAGAAATCATTATAAATGTATATAATTCACCTGAGGTACAGTCTGCCCCTTGGTCACAAACTCATTCCCGACCTTCACTCTGGGGTAGCACAGAGCCTTCAGCATGTCAGCTGAGTTCAGGCCCAAGAGGTAGGCAATTTTATCGGCCACTGAAATACAAACAATATGTTGATTCATGCTCTTTAACCCAGGGTAAATCATTTTGTGGTTAAGGGAATCTCATCAGTTACCCTCAGTGCCATCAGGTTCTGCCTGCTCCTCTCTCTGCTTCTGCTTGAACTTCATGTTCCCATGATGCATCACTGCTCCAGTCAGTTTGTAGATGCCTATTTTCTCCTCAGCACTGAAGCCCAAGATGTCAATTGCAGTCTGCGTGATTCAAAAGAAAAACATGATTTATAATTTACTGAATGCTAAGACAAATTTCTGTTGTAATACTGTGATTAAATGAACGTGATGTTTCATTAATCATTTACTCACATCTGTGGCTATAAATTCTTCAACATCATTGATACTTTTCACCACAATCTCCCCTTGACTGATCATGGGGTAGTCGTATGGATTGGTGGTGATCAGAAGTGCCTCTGTAAAGATGAAGAAAACATTCACAGATGTAAACTGCAGGTACAAAACCCCAGTTTACCCCAGACACTCGGTACATACCAAGCAGCTCTGGTTTGTGGCCTGTCATAAGTTGATAGAAGATGTGGTAGCTTCTCTCAGCTGACAGCTGGAAAGTGACTCTTGACTTTTCCAGCAAATCTGTCAATAGGAGTTTGCAACATGTTAATTTATCATTTTGTGCTGAATTAAATAGAAGTAAATCATTTGGGAGATGAGAACTTACAAGTTTCAATATCAGCAGAAGCCAGTTTCCCTGTTTGCCCGAAATGGATTCTGATGAATTTACCCTATAATTTAATGAAAGTATTTGATCATCAAAACATTTATTAAAACATTGATTTTAGCAGGTAATTCTGAGAGTAAAATTTAACATCAGTTTAGATAAACTTACAAAACGAGAGGAGTTGTCATTCCTCACAGTCTTGGCATTACCATAAGCCTCCAGCAGAGGGTTCGCTGCAATGATTTGATCTTCCAGGGAACCCTACAGGAGACACTGGAGCATTGAGACTCTTGCTACTATATGTTTGTTACTTATTCAGTATAATTATTATTCTCTCTGACCTGCATTTTTCCAGGAACAGGCTCTGTTTTCTTTGGTCCAGAAACTGCAATTGTTGCAAAATACTGGATGACACGTTTGGTGTTCACAGTCTTTCCTGCACCGGATTCTCCACTGAGGAAAGACAGAGAGTTCTGTTTGTCTGTATTTACCTTGAATTTGCTGTTTTGAATTTTGCTGTAAATCTAATGAATCATATTTCATTCCTTAATATTGTTTTTGTTTTACTATTAGGAAATGTCCCTATTATAGTGCTTATTCTGATTTAATTTAGTATATTTTGTGTGTAAAAATATTAATACGTACGTAATCAGAATTGACTGGTTTTCACGGTCTGCAAGGAAAAATTGGGCATTCATTTAGTTAATTTTGGGTATTAAGATTAATTCTAAGAATTTTTTATGGAAAGCACAATGCATTTTGTCCTAAATTCATTTGAAAAGCAACATAATTATAAAGATTATTATCATTTTAAGTTTTCTTTACCAGTTAGCATGAACTGATAGGCATTGTCAGAGATGGAGAAGATGTGGGGAGGAGCTTCAACTCTCTTCTTGCCCCTATAGGCAGTTACAACAGAAGCATCGTACACTGGGAGCCACTTGTAGGGGTTCACAGTGACACAGAACAGCCCGGAGTAGGTCTGTAATACAGAAAGTAAACATTTATTCATACATGTACATATTTTTATATGAAAGGACGCATCAAACAGATTTAATGGAAAAACCTACGTAGATCATCCATGCTGCGTAACGCTCTTTGAGGTTGTACAGCACAGTGGGCTCACTGAGGTGGGTCATCATGGCCATGTCCTCAATTTTATCGTACTTTGGAGGGTTCATGGGGTGAATGTCATCCTCCTT